ATCGCAGGCTGCAGAACCGGGCTCATCGCAGGCTGCAGAACCGGGCTCATCGCAGGCTGCAGAACCGGGCTCATCGCAGGCTGCAGAACCGGGCTCATCGCAGGCTGCAGAACCGGGTTCATCACCGGAAATGCTGCACAGACAGAGGAGGATTCAGAAAAACTCAGAAAATGAAGAAATACAGCGTTAAAACAAAACTCAGTTTAATATGCTCACACTGCAACCCTTAAAAATTCATTATTTATGGATTTTGCATAAACATTGGATCCTCTGTGTTTAGTTTTCTCTCAGATTACATGAATTATAAACTATATACACTGAAATAACAGAGTTGTACTGAATGTTTGGTCTAGTGCAAATATCTTAGTTCACTTAAAATAAGACAAAACAAACTTACAGGTACCTTTTCAGCAGGAAATATGAGCTTCTTTAGAGTCAGTAATTCCTTAATAATGATATAAAAGTGCAGTATTAATGCTTTCTCTCTGGGTACTCTGCTTTCCTCTCATGGTTTAAAAACCTGCATGTAAAGTCAAATCCTTCCTCTGAATCGACCCACATTGCATGTTTTTCTCTCCTGGAGGCCAGTGCAGTTTCCTCTGCTTCTGCCCCAGTAATGCTGGAGACGCCCCCTTAACCCCCTCCACAGGGAGGACAGAGACCAGAGGTGGCCATCTTGCGTGTTTTCTTTGCTCCCTTGGTTCAACACAGTGTGTATAAGTATCAAATCCCCCAAAGTCAATATTTTGCAGAACCAACTTTCACTGCAATTACAGCTGCAACTTTTCTTGGGATCTGTTTCTACCAGCTTTGAACATCTGGAGATAAAAGTTTTGCTCATTCCTCTTTTCAAAACAGCTCTGGTTCAGTCCGGTCTCAGGAATACGCTTTGATCCAAACCATTGCTTTCAGCTCCGGCTCCATGTTTAGGGTCACTTTCCAACACGAAGGTGAACCTCCACCACCATCTGAAGACTTTAGCCGCCACATTTTTCCTGCAGCTTTCTTTCAACATCACAGTTTGTCTTGTTCTATAAGCTTATCCTGGGTCAACACTTTCCAGTTATCAGCTGTTTTAGGGAGAAAAGTAAAACCACAACATCCACCGAAGGCAACCTTCAAATATGAAATAATGTGAAAAAACTTGAGAAAATTATGCAAGGAGACTTTTGCCAAACTTAATAGCATTATCGATAATTAACTGACAAGCAGTCATCATATTTTTACCTGATTTTTCTGATGCAGCGCTGAAACATTTCATCAGTACTAAGAGCCAGAAAAATATTCTTGTTCCACTGGAAGATTATTTTACTTACAGCAAAACATTTTTCCATGTTTTAAGTGAAATAATCTATCAGTGAAACTAGAACTATTTACCAATATTAGGAAATTCACAACAAAAAAAATATTTTCTTGTTAAAAAGTTACTTGTAAGTTAGTTTTGTCTTATTTCAAGTGTACTGATATATTTGCACTAGAAACTAGACAAAAAATATTTTTCGAGATGCAAGATTTAAAAAATGTTGAGTTTGCACAATGCAGCATCTTCTGGTTTTGTATGATTTTTAAAATCCCAAGTTTAATGTTTGTCTCCTCCCACAGAGGTTCAACCCTGCAGCTCCTCCAGAGTCACCATTCATTAAATTCTCTTCCTGCATGTTTTTTTTTTTGTGATGAGTTGATGAAAACAGACAGAGCAGCTGCATTTATACTGAGACTTAATTCAACCCAGATGTGACTTCTGAAGGAAGATGGTTGCATGAGATTTTATAATTGGGAATCAGAATAAATGGGGTTGAATTGTTAGGATTTATATTTGTAAAAAAAAAAAAGTACTCTCTTCCCACTTCACAAAAACTAAGTTAAATACATTAATGTTTGTTATTGTAATGTGACAAATTGTAAAAAAAGAAAAAAAAATGCAAATGCTTGTGCATTTCTCTGTATATACTGGCATGCTTGTCGCTGCGCAGTATAAACATGCTGATGTTCTGCACTCAACATCCACAGTAAACAAATCATGAGCACAGAGCGAACAGAAATACAGATTACACACACATGGACATTCCCATCACAAATCCACGCACGCCGTGTAAACATCAGGACTTCTGACTGCAAATGAAACTCAATATCCAGAGACGGACATGTGGGAAAGATCAATTCAGGTTTGGTATTTATTATATGTACGTATTACACTAAAAGTCTGAATGGAATGAAAAGAACGACGTTATATTCATGGGCATGAGATCAGCAGCACTCTTCATAAATACCTGAGAGGCAGGGCTGCGTTTACTGCCATATTCTTGATTAAATCATAACCATATTCTCTTCTTGATTGTATGAACAGAGAGAAAACACACACACACACACACACACACACACAGAGGCGGAAAAGCCGTAATGAAACATCATAGGCATGACTGTTACACACACACTCTCGTCTGGAATACAAATTCCCCGTGCAGTTATTTGTTTCCATCCATCAGTATTCATTATTCCAGTGAATATATCATTGAAGTGCGCCTATTGATCCTGTATTAAATCCCATTGTTGGATTCCTATTCAGTTGTGAGGCAGGTGAGGCGAAAAGGAAGGTGACCAAATGTCATGGTGACAACATGGAGCATTGTCAAAGGTAGCTTTATCGATCAAGATAGACAGAAAGAGGGAGCAGCCAGATATTTCTGCAGGACCCCAACCGGCTGACATTTTAGAAAAGCTGTCCTTTCTATTTTCTCACCATCTATTGTTGCACACAAAGACCACAGCAGCCTGGGCGCAGGCTCTGTGAGCTGTGGCCTTCACACCCAGCAGAGACAGTGAGCGGCTTCTGATGCAGCTCTGTTTAAAAAGAGACAGTCTTGTTCATTAAATTTATCTGTGGTAATTTTTACAGTGCGCACGCTGGGCCTCTCAGAAGGTGGCCCCAGCATTGTGTGGGTTTTCTGCTTTGACATTTTAAAGGCCCTGCTGTCTCACGGTGTCAGCGGTTAATCTGAAACACAATGTGGACGGTGGCTCCACGCTCTGCTAAGGGTCCAATTAGGTTGCCAGCCATGTTCTGCCATTTCTTACACAACTCCAAGACTCCAAAACACTCCCAGTGGGATCTCTCCTCTTTTCCTTTCAGGCTCAGATCCAAATGAAGGCAAATGGCTGAAGAACTTCAGCTGCACACAGAAAGCCAAACTGGCACCGAACGTGTCAGACTGGGAGAACAACACAATCCGGACAGAACCGCGCTAGAGTTTTACACACAAACACACCAGACTTGACCTTTGACCCACTTTATCTCTTTTTCTAAGGTTAACTTTAGCAAGTGTTTGAAAAACTTTTAGGTTGAGCCAAAGTACACACACATTTCAAAAAGTTTTCATGTTTTCATGACCCAGACGACTGAATCTTTTTTATCTGAAAGATTTGAATTTGCTCATTTAGAAATGCAGGAAGCTTAGCGTTCTCTATCGTTCATTATAATCTTAAATGTTGAATAATGTGTGAAACCTTATTCAACCTTATGAAGTTTGAGTCTGTTTTAATTTTTATGGAGTGTTTTTGTTTAAAAAAAATTGAAGTAAAAGAGTATTTTTTCATTGGCTGTGAGATGTGATGTAATCACCCCAAGGCCACCTCTGATTGGTTAATCAGCTCCCCCTGATGACTCCTCCCACTGATGTTCAAACTGTTTGGATATGAAAGTTTTGCCACTTTTCAGGAAATTAAAAACAATATATTATGAAGGTTTGCTTTGCTGGATCAGAGCCAAGACTGATTAATTCAGTTTAGTTCAATACAAAAACACTTTATTGATCCCAAAGGGAAATAATTAGAATGGAAGGGAAATTAAATCAGATTTAGTAGGAAATTGTTTTTGCAATGTAACTTGTACCTTGGAGAATTCTGCCTAAAGTTACTGCAACATATTTGTTTGTTTTTCTTCCAAGCTCTGGACCTGCTATCCAATATCAGCTGCTCTCTAAACTGAGGATGCTGCAGCAGACTGAAGTCCACACCCCTGATCCCCAAACAGATGCCCTATTCAGAGCAGAAGCACTAAAAGCAACACGACTCCTTTAAACATGACAGAACGTGACGTTCCACAAAATCACTGCCTTTTCCTCACATTCATACATATGAAACACAGCTTTCAAAATATTTACATTCATGACAAGAAAGGAAACAGTGTGACAACAATTTCAGTAAATAAAATATTCCATCTGTTTCTGTTTTTTCTTCCCAAAACAAAAATAATAAAGAAATGGATAAACAATGTTTAAATTCCTGCCAATGGCAAAATACATTTAACGTGACTTAATATGGGGTCACAGTTAGGTTGCCAAACATGTTCAGCTATCCTTCATAAGGTTTAGGAAACTCCGAGTCATTCCCAAAGGGATTTTCCTTGTTTCTTTACCTGCTCAGGTGCAAATGAAGGCAAATGGTCCAAATGTGAGCCCTGCAGCTCCATGAAACCAGAAGCAGCAGCCCTGAATGTGCTGACGAAGCATAAAGCCTGCAGGCTGCAGAGATGCAGGGGGAAGACTCCTACAGGTAATTATCCCAGACACGGTTTCTGTTTGTTCTGCAGAAAGCATCTCGTGTTAAAGCAGTCCAGATCAAAATGTCGTGTCATACAATATTACCGTCAGCAGCCGCGCTATTGAATTAGCCTTGCTGCTCCTCTGCTTCCCAGGATGTTTATCTGTTGCTAGGGCTGGAAAACCTCCACGCTCATTGCTTTGCACCAAGTGGACACAGAAAGCAGATTAGCTAGATTTCCTGATCTGTGAAATGATCTTAGAGATGAAGGAGAACATGCAGCATTCCTGAGTGTGGTGTTTGTGCATCAGGCCGTCTTCATGTTAGCTGTTAGCCTCAGCCTGATAACAGAGGAGCCACACGCTGACCTCAACCATCCAGGCAGGTCACTCTCAGGTTCTTACCATAAACAGATTTATCAAGATGTAATCACATTAGCAGCTTCTGGCCCAAATAACCTCTGCGCTCAAGCAGCAGAGGCTGCAGTTCCTGGAGTCGCCACTTGAGGCGCAGCTCAGTCATCCATGAACCCTCATGCTAAATGCCTGCACACAATAAAAACACTTTGAGGACCTGATGTGATTTAAATCCCCGACTGTCTTACATTTCATGATCTAAAACAGGTGGATCCTGGAGGCCCGGCATCCTGCATGTTTTATTCTCTCACCGGTTTAGCAGACCTGCATCAAATGATGGCTGTTAGAGGCCGAAGAGGAACATTGACTTGCTGAGGAGGTTGTTTCTACCAACAGGGAGAGAACCAGACCATGCAGGATGCCGGGCCTCCAGGACCCACTTTGGGCACAACTGATCTAAAAGATAAAGTCAACAGGATGAATAATTTCTATTTGGAGCTAAAATGCAATACAGAATCTGTAACTTTGAATGGATCTGATTTCACTAAAAATATGAAAAAAATATGCACAACACTTTAATACATGTTTACTTGAAACATTTGCTTCCAGTGCAGACATTTTAAAACCTATTATCTTCTGCTGTATAAAATTGGTAGTTTCTCTTCTAGTTACCTTCGGTGCCTTCATGCCCTTCTGAACGTTTTTCACAATTTATGCTACAACCACAAATGTTGATGCCATTTATTTGCATCTTATGTGACTGCAATACAACATGGTGCATTATAGAAAAATGCAATTCAATTTGATTCAGAAGTAATTTATTTATCCAAAATAGAAATTAAATCTTGTTGTAACTCCCAAATATCTTTAAAGATTCATGGACGGTCTTTGATTGTTCAATATTTTATCTGCTTAGTTCCTGATGGTATCATGATTTTGCTTTTGAGAGAATTAGACTATCTAAGATTTTATATTCAAACCTTTTGTTTATGTCAAACTGTAAATGAATGAAATAAAAAAAATAAATTTAGGTGTAAAAATGGGCTGAATGAAAATATTCAACCCTTTAGATTTTTTTTTAGGAAAACCATTTAAAAACATTTTGTCTTTGTTATTCTGTCTCATTAAATCCCAATAAAATACTTTGAAATCTTTGTTTCCAACATGATAAAAAGTTCCAGGTTTATATTTGTATTATTTACACTCTAGACAAAGAGAAATAAATAAAAGCTGATCATCCGTATTCATGTAAAATCCAGTTTATATGTTTTATTATTCATATATTCTTCATTTAATTAGCATATTATGCATAGATGGCAACTTTTGATATGTAACTTAGCAACTGAGACCTGAAGTGCCCTTTAGATGAGAGAGTGAAGCCTTTGGGAGCCTGTTATTCAGAGAAGTCTGTACTCTGCCACCAGGGGAAGAAACAGAGAGAAAAGCAGAGTGGAGAAGATTTGCCAGTTAACATCTACAGGGCAGCTACAGTAAATGGTGCGGCAGAAACTTTGAGTGAAAACCTTGCACAGCAATAAAGTGATATAGACATGAATAATGCAGGAGCATTTAGTTCAGTGCTTAGGAATCAGATGTCCCTGGTGCCCTGAAGGATTCCAGTCTACTGAGCCAGCGTCTCTGGTTGGAATAAACCCGCACAGACCCAAATGAGAAATTCAGCACTCATCTCTGTCCTGCCAAGTCACATAAAACATCCTGCATGGTCATCAGTGTGCAAAAACATGAATTAATACGTATGAACGAGAAAATGACCTAAATAAGCTCCACTGTGTGAACACAACACATGCAGCCTGAACGTCTGTGTGACAGTGAAGAAAAATATTCACAAATTAATATTCTTCTACTTCACAATATAATTATTGAGAAGTAGAGAAAATATGGGACAGTAGAGATTTATAAAAAACTATAAGTTTGTTTAAAGAGCAGATATAAATCAAATTGAAGTTAGCGTTTTAGCATTAGCTTGTGCTAAATACCATGTTGGAGTAGCATATTAGCATTTATGGTTAGCGCTTCAGGGTTAGCGCTTCAGGGTTAGCTCAACTAACTTTCCAAGATTTCCAAAAACTACTCAATTTACTATGATATACTTAAAAACAAATTTCATTTAAAAGAGTCTGAATCTTTGATCATTTGCTCTTAAGTTTTGAATTATTTAGTATTTTTCAAAGCTCTTGAGCTTGATCATGATATATTTCTGTTCCCAGTAATCACTCTGCAGAATTTATATCCTGTATTTGTTGGTCGACTCTCTTGTTTCCATCATTATGGCTACATTTCTATTCCATTTACTAAATATCTACTAAAGCCTGTTTCCTGCCTGCGTTTGGTAAAATAGCTCTCAATAAAAAGAGCTTAAATTGAGCTTTTAAATGATATAAGCATCACATATGAATAAAATAAGTTACAATATGCTTTATTTAACTAGCAACCTGGTGGGCTAAATCGAACTTCTAATCAAATCAGTTGAGTTTATGTATAGATGTACTTAAAATCGTGACCTAGATATTCTGAAAAAGCCTCAGAAAACTTCTGAATTAATCTTTCAGTCCCATCTGGTCACCTGTAGAAAACCTTGTAAAGGTTCCCTGATGCCTCCAACGTATTCCATTAAAAATGTTTACCAGTATCGACGTCTTGCATAGACGCCTCAGTACGTGCTGAGAAAAGCTCCCAGAAATATAAGCTCAGTAATGACTTTACTTTTCGGGGTTCTTGTGGGATTCGGGTTTATAAATAAAAGTGAGGGAGTCGCTGAGCGAGAGTTTGAGTGCTAATTTTGCTGAACTGCTGGGAAGCTTTCATTTTGTTGTCTCAGCTGCTCAAAGCATCAACTAATGAGTAATTAATTACCACATATCCAAATCAAATGATCTCCGTTTCCCTCCCCTCCCCTTGTGTTTGTTTTCATTTAGTTCTTCTGGTTGTTAACTTGAAAGAAGAATTCATTCTGAAATAAAACTGGAATTTCTGTCTTTATTTTGATACGTTTCCACATGAATATGTTGATGTTATTTACTTTATTTGACATTAAAATGATCTGATTTCCATTCAGGTGATGCAGGTGAAGCAGCCAGAAGCCCCGCCCCTCTGCAGCAGCTTTGGGTCCTCTCTGCGATCCGTGAACCGGTGATGTGGCGTCCAGGTCGGGTCTGCTCTCCGTACCGACACGGAGGCTCACAGGTAGAGGCGGCGTGGTGCTCAGCTGAAGGAGGGAGCGCGCACGGTGGTGACAGGAGCATCAGTTTCACAAACGGTCTCCTCCTTCGCCCCTGAAAGTGTGGCGTAATCACGTGCGGGGGTGATGCACCATGAAATGGAATGGGCGCCCAATCCGGGGGAGCGGGCTCAGCGGCGTGTCTACGGAAATGAAGGTCATTCTTTACCCAGAGAGGCTGGTGTCAGAGGAAAAGGCCTCACAGGTCAAACATGGCCACAGGCAGACAGGAGGCAGCGCTCAGGCAGACTTCAGGTTTGGATCTGAAAGAGACCAGAAATGAGTCCATTTAAAACGCCAAATATCCTAAAAGTATATGAAGCTTAGCCGCTTAAAATAAACATATGTTGCCAAATATGGGTAATGACAGCTGTAAGCAGAAAGCGGCTTGTTTTCTTGACCGAAAATAAATTTCTACCAATAAAACGTTGACTGGATCTGCTGCTTGTCGGCCAAACAGAAACATTTAAGCTCAACAGAAAACCACGTTTTCCCCGAGCTGCTATAAAAGAGATGAACATTTAAACTACAACGCATTTCTATGTTTAGATGTTAAAACTAAATTAATCATCTCACTTTTAAAAGGAAAAAAAAGCTATTTTATATCATAAAGCTAGCTAAGTGAGCACTTTTAATAAATTTGGAAAGTTACAAAAAGTAAGAGTCCATCTAAAAGTTAAAACTCAGCCAAGAAACTTTAAATCACTTCTAAAAGCCTTGTACTATCGATAGTCTTCTGTTGTAAATAACATAACGGCACAAACAGCCTATTCTTGTTTCCTTCATGATTAAAAACATCGTTTTTGGTTTCATAAACGTTTGGTGTTTAGTCTCAGCTGCAGCACCTCCTGTATTCAGGTGTGTCTGTCCTGATCAGGGCCAGTCGACTCAATTCATCCCAGCTGGTCTCCATCTGAGATGCAACGAAACAGAAACAAAATAACACAGAACCGACTTACAGGTAACTTTAAAGAGACAAAGGAGCCTCTTAAAGTAAACTATTCCTTTTTATTGATAAAAAGTACGAGTTCCCCTGGAAGATTATTTCATTTCTAGGTCATAAGTGAACTGATACTTTTCCATTAGTAAGAAATTATTGACTTAACAGAAGCTTCTTGTGCTAAAACCCAGAGAAAAATACTTGGTGTTTTTTCTGTGTTCTAGTTTTGATAATTTTGTGTTAAAAGGTTTTTTCCACGTTGCCATAATGGGGTATTTGTGTGTATATTTCTGAGGTGGAAGATTAATTTGTTACAGTGTGGAATAAGGCTGGAACATAAAGCATGGAAACAGTGAAGAGCTGTGAATACTTTCTGGATGCGTTCTATAACAATTATGTTGAATTGATTTGTCCAATCTTACTAAATTACTCCGTCTCAATAAACATGAGCATGTTTTTATTGGCGTGTGTGTTGCATGACAAATTTGAGCTTCACAGGGACAGATAAGGCCGGGATGCAGCTAACAGACTTTATTCCTGGAGAAGGTTCAACACAGCCAAAAATAAATTCAAAACATGATCTGAATCCTCCAACTGGTGACATTTTCTATCTCCCAGATGTATCAGTGTTCCTCCAAGCAATCAAGAAGTAATTCCCTTTATCGGCCAGCATGAATATTAAAGTTTTGTGCTGGAGGGATCCGGGGAATAAACACAACAGCTCCGGCACCTGGCCCGGACTTTGGTGGAGAGCTGATGAAGCAGATGAGTGGCTCACTGTGTAATAGAATGGCTGTAAAGATTCTGGCTGTAACCGCAGCCAAACCCCAAGAAAAACAAGGAATCAGCATCTTCTTCTCTTTCTTGTCTTGACATATGGAAATGAAAACCTGCTCAACAGCAGCAGACCGTCCCAACACATAGAAACACATAGAAATCCAGATGTAATTTTAAAACTGCGTGAAAAATGTGAAGATATTTTTAAGGAAGGATTATTACTATAAAATGTTTTTGATCAAAAGGAAACACACGGAGTCGGTTCTGACTGATCGTCTTAACACTTTCCAACCACGTCCGAGGCGGCGAGGTGATCAATCTTCAGACATGACAGAGAACATTAAATACGCAGAATAAACGGCGGCGTTCAGGGCGCCTGGCGATGCACTTAGAGACAAAATGACCTGCGCTGGACAAATAAACCACCTACATGCGTAAAACATTTATCACAGTCGAAATGATTCACATCCAGCCTGTCCTTCATTCTGCAGAGATCAGAAATGAAAACTAAAACAGCCTGAACATGTCAGCATTTCTAACATTCAACACTACATTTATTTTATTAGAATCTTATTTGGTAGAACAACTTAAAGTAACACACAAATGCCTTTCAAAACCTTTTAAAAACAAAACTCAGCAGACTGGATTTTGTCATTTTTATCTGTGGAAATAGCCGTTAAAATAAAAAAAAAACTCTTCATTTAAGAAGGAAGATGAAAGCTAGCTGATTTATTCTAGTTTATTAAAACATGAAGGACTGATCAAACATGGAGACACAACAGAGAAAAGGCTTTCACAATTAGTTTAAACAATGATATGTCAATAAAATCACAACGATTTGGTCCATCACTGCAAAAACCCAAAATCTTACCAAGTATTAGTTTAGTTTCTACTGCAAATACATTAGTACACGTTGAATAAGACAAACCTAAATTAAAATGAACTTTTCAACAAGATAAAGGAGTTTGTTTTATGTCAATAATTCCTTAATGTCAATGAAAAAGTCCAAGTTCAACTGGCAGATGATGTTAATAACAAATTAATTCAATTTTGAGGAATTATTGACTTAAAACAATAATTATACCTATATCTTACTGAAAAGTTGCTTTTTAAGTTAGTTTGTGTTTCATTAACATATTTGTCTTGGAAACTTACAAAAACAGAAGATTTTGGTTCTGGAAAGCTTAGATTGAGATATGAACCACATGTTTCAGATCTTTATTTGTAACAATATTTTCCTTCCAGTTCACAGTTGTGCATCATTTTGTCTTATTTTATCACATAAAACCCTAATAATTGAAGTGTGGTAGCAGTGTGAGTTCAGGGGGTTTGAATACTTTTTCGAGGTGCAGTAGGTGTTGAATTTGGTGAAACCAAATATCAGCAGCAGCCAAAGAGCAGGAAGCAGGTTCTGGTTCCTCTAATTCGGACCTTTGGGGTCTCAGACTGTCATGGCTGTCGCTGTTTTTCTTCGGTTTCATGTGATCACCGCAGAGAGGAGAGGAACGACGGCGCCGTCGTCCTCGTGAGGAGGAAAGTGCTGTACAGTGTTGACTTTGTCATGCTGCCATGTTGGATGACATCATCACATCAGTGCCAGACGCTACTAGCAAGATAACTGGATTGCACTGAATCAGGGTTAGCCAATCAGAAACAGGCTTTTCTGATTGGCTGCCTCATTCTGAAGGCATGTTTTCTGGTGCAACTGTAAAACATTTAAACTTCAGTAAAAGTAGATTTTGTGTTTGTCTATCACAAACGATCTAATGAACATGTTCAGATATGTGGTTGAAACAGATGATGAGCACATTTTAAACACTGTGTGTGTTTATGCCTCATGGCTTCACTTCCTCAGTCCAGCTACATTTGTCCTTATAATGTTAGTACTATGCTGCAAAAACACAAAATATTCCCAAGTATTTATGTTTAGTTTCTTATTACACTTGAAATAAGACAAAACTAATTTATAAGGAACTTTTCAGAAAGATGTGTTTGTTTTAAGGCAATAATTCCTTAATATTGATTTTAAAAAATACTATTTCCACTGGAAAAGCAAATTTTTAAACATACAACATGAAAAATGTCTTATAAGTGAAATAATCTGCCAGTGGAACTGGTACTTCTTCATCTATATTAAGAAAATATCGGTAAGATTTTGTGTTTTTGTAGTGTGAATCTATACAGAATAAATAGTTTTATTAGTGTCTGTGTAGCTGACTTTCTAATGCAGCTGTGTTGTCTGAACTCATCTGGGCCATGAATGTTCTTAAAGGGCCGGTTGTCCCAGAATGTATTGATAAAACCTTAAACAAACTGCTATAATATTGATAAGTAGCTGTGTGTGCGTTCACTAAGTATTGCTCTAAGTCCCTCCAGAATTAAATTTCTTTTTGTAATTTACTTTTGCAATGAAAATCACTCATTTTCTTTAGATAAATTAAACATATTAGCAAGAAATTTTGCAATATTTTCCCAAATATGATTTTGTTTTTCTTACTCGCCACATCTTTCCATTGCTTCTACTGCAGCAGTGGAGTAGAAGGAAGAAATACTGCCACCTGCAGGTGGGAGTTAGCATCTATTAACCCAATATTTTCAACCATTTTTTGTGGAAACTTGGCAATAAACTCATGATTGTGCACTAATGTGAAAAAGTGTTGACTATGTGTGAATTTGCAAAACACTGGAGGGACTGACTGATGTAATTTGACAGCAAACAATAAAACAGCTTTGATTTGATTGGTAAAATGATATTTAAACGGTTTATCCCTGCCTGCATGCCCAGGTGGGCCCCATATGGGGGAAAGGAGGGCAGATCATATGGGTCCCATATGGGTTTGCCCATGTAGGGCCCACCTAGGCATGCTGGCAGGGATTTCCCTGGAGTCTAGACGGCCACATAAAAAGCTGAGGCGGGCGAGATTTGGCCCCTGGACCTTGAGTTTGACACACGTTGTCTAAAACTTAAGCCTAGATTGTAGCTAGGAGGAGAGTAGAAACTATCTGCACCTGGAGACTCTTCTGTTAAAACCCAGATCCTGGTGGCTGACTGTTGGTCTGACTCTGTCTCTCTCTCTCTCTCTCTCTCTCTCTGTCTCTCTCTCTGTCTATGTTTCTCTCTCTCTCTGTCTCTCTCTCTGTCTATGTTTCTCTCTCTCTCTGTCTCTCTCTCTCTCTGTCTCTGTTTCTCTCTCTCTCTGTCTCTGTTTCTCTCTCTGTCTCTGTTTCTCTCTCTCTCTGTCTCTGTTTCTCTCTCTGTCTCTCTCTGTCTCTCTCTCTCTCTGTCTCTCTCTGTTTCTCTGTCTCTCTCTCTCTCTGTCTCTCTCTCTCTCTCTCTGTCTCTCTCTCTGTCTCTCTCTCTCTCTCTCTCTCTCTCTGTCTCTCTCTCTCTCTCTCTCTCTGTCTCTCTCTCTCTCTCTCTGTCTCTCTCTCTCTCTCTCTCTCTCTGTCTCTCTCTCTGTCTCTCTCTCTCTCTCTCTGTCTCTCTCTCTCTGTCTCTCTCTCTCTCTGTCTCTCTCTCTCTCTCTCTGTCTCTCTCTGTCTCTCTCTCTGTCTCTCTCTCTCTCTCTCTCTCTCTCTCTGTCTCTCTCTCTGTCTCTCTGTCTCTCTTTCTCTCTCTCTCTCTCTGTCTCTCTCTCTGTCTCTCTCTGTCTCTCTTTCTGTCTCTCTCTCTCTCTGTCTCTTTCTGTCTCTCTCTCT